ATTGAAAGCTTACCGATTTTATGGGATTCTTCAGATCCATATTATAAAATTAGTAGGAAAAAAAATGAGACGTGGGAAAATCTTGCCAACAAATTCTGTACAACAATACTAGATGTTAAAAAGAAATGGCTTTCATTACAGGTAAACAAATATATTTGTTTTTTATATACCAGTATTTTATTGCAAAAAGTAATTATAACTTTGAGAATTATTGCGTAATTATTTTATATTCAACATGAGTCTTTAATTATTGATAATGAATCTATGAGTACTTTTTCTAGGCGTCATACAGAAGAGAGAGAATTAAGATGATTGATTCTGCAAAAGGAACTGAGAAAAAAGTATTGTCAAAATGGTTTGCATATCGTGCAATGACGTTCTTGGGGGATCATTATAAACCAAGAGGAATAAGAAATATTTCTGAGGTAAAATAAACATACATTTTATAAATTTCTTTTAATTTTAATTTTGAAAGTAAAATTAACATTCAATTTTAGTATATTTTCTCTTTTTAGAATAGATTATGAATTTTCATAAACTACTTTTTTTTTTTTTTAGAAAAAATAAACTTTAGTTTCCAGTATTGTTTTTCCTTCGAACCATATTATTATTTGTTCATTCTGCTCTTCAAATTATATATTCAGTCACAAAATTTTATATCTAGAATTTAAAATTAATTATATATAAATACTGCTAAATATAATTACAATTTTTGGTAATATAACTTATCAAAATAATTACTAAATAAATTATATCAAAATAATTAGGCCCGTATTCACAACGCGCTTTTATCTTTAAAATTCTATAATCTGCATAACGTAAAGTTATAGTATGTTGGTATACTTTACGTTATGCAAGTGCTAACATTGTAAGCGTGTTTTGAATACAAGTCATAATGTATAATATATTTATGGTAATGTTGTCGTTATTTCAGACTTCTGAAACATGTCGACAGAAAGAAAGTAGTGACCTTAAGGATCAAGAAGGTATTAATGAAACAGACATAACATGTCCGAAAGTAGAAGCTATATTACACGAATCAGAGAGAAGTGTACGATTGCATAATACCTCGTTGCGAAGAAAACATTTGAAAATGTTTTATTCTCCAGAATTAAATAACCCAAAGAAAAGAAAGATTAATGAAGATAAGCCAAGTGAAATGTATATTTTAAAAGCTACTATTGCAGAAAAAGAATATCAACGAGATGAAAATGAGACTTATGGTGAATACGTGGCACTGACACTGAAGAAATTAGATAATTATTCACGTATAATGGCTAAACATTACATTAATGAGATTCTTATAGAAGCAGAATTAGGGAAATACAAAGATTCGATTCCTCAAAGATCGCCTATATCCACGGCCTATTCTGCTATTTCACCATCGCTTTCTGTATATTCTTACCAATCCGGAAGTTCCAATAATGTGATTTCTTCTGAACCGAATCTGTGATCACCTGATGAACTAATAGCATTAAAAAATTATTTCTCTTTCTCAGTGCGTTGTCTTTTGTCAGTCGTAATCTCTTCTGCATCTGATATTCACTGATATATGGGACCTACAGTTTTTAATTTCGAATAGCTCAAGGTGGAAGAAATACTTTACCATGGAACGGCCTCGGAAGAGATTATCGTGGCAAAGATTCTCTTAATAATTAGTCATTATCTTGGTAATCAAAATGATGATCAAGTAAAATTTGATATGTGTGGTCTGGGTGGATTTGAATCCCATAGCAGCCATGCGACTCTATGCCACAAAGTTATTTAACACGATTTTAAATCATTTCTATTTTCTGCAAGCTTTTGTTGAAATACATATCGAAATATATTTCTCATTTTCATTACTTTTGTAATTAATTTCTTAGAAATAATTCTTATTAATATATGTAAATTATATTTGCAAATTTTTTTGAAATAAAATTGTTCTAAAAGAAATAAAAAGAAATAAAATATTTTATTAAATAAATTTATTTGATTATTAGAGAATTATTTATAGAACTTCTGCAAAAGTTTTTATACACTTCAGAAATAATTTTCAAGATGTTCTGAACTTTCTTAAATAAGTACCTGGAAATCTTTATTTGCTAAGTGATTCTTAAATTAATAGCCTTTTTGATTTGCTGACTCTGTTCGAGATGAGTCAGCAAAGACACTGTCCCTTTTTTTTCAATAGAAATTACTTATAATTAGTGTCTTATATATTTTTAAAAAGACGAATTATTATAGGAGACGAATTATTATAGAAGACGAATTATAAGAGACTAATTTTTTAAGTTCTTTAATATAAATTTATGTATGTAAAACTTTCGAAGATCTCTCTTACAAAAGTAAATATAAAAAATTGCGTCAATTGAAAAAATACAAAGTTATAATAAGTAATTCAAATGTTTCACATTAATGTTTCAACCAATGAATTTCATTATACTTTACGCTTTTAAACATTTTAAATATATGTATTTTAATATAATTGTGAAATCTATAAAATATATTTTTATATATCGATTTTTATAAAGTTTTTAAATACGAATATATATATTAGTAGCATAGTAATCGTCTTATTAAAGACGTTAAAGTCATTTGACATCATCTTGATATTTTCGATACGAATCAAAAATCATATTTATGTATTAAAGAAAGTGATAATATGAAATTAAAATATCTAAATGATTAATCAATAATTTTCAATTTATTATCCATAATGATAATATCCATAATGATAATATAGATACTTCACATATAGATATAAATGTGCATATCTCTTGCAATTACTATGTTCAATTTGCCAACATTGTTTGCATATTATTTTTTTTACTAATATTTTGTCCATTGGATACATTTTGATGACATGATAATATTCTATTTTCATTTAAGATATGCATTATTATTCGTGATATTGATTCTTATAAAAAAATAGTTTTGTAGCAACACATATGATATATTATTGGGTTATAAATATGTATGCCTATTTATGTATTTATATAATATTATAAATCATAAATTTAATACTCTATTATTGACTAATAGAGTCTGATGTCTATTAAATATTGAACGGTTGAAACGGTCGATAATGTCTGTATTCTTCAATTACCTCCGAGTTCACTTGATCATGAAAATTTACCCGTGGCTGGCCGTCTTTAATAGTACCTTATCGGTGTTAAGACTCATTTTTATATGTTCGTTATTTTGTTCGTCGTAAATGTTCATTTATGATTGTTCTTGTTGGTCTCGAGTCAGCTTTTAATTGACTTTCTTTAATAGTACCTAGTGTATGTGTCGAATCATCGATTGTTTAAAAGAGAAAAGAAACAACGCGTGGACGTCCTGAATATACATACATGTGTGTCAATAATACGCGTATATTATAGATCCGTATTCTCATCCGTAGGATTTTTTCTAGTTTTCCTGTAGAAATCTGTGAGGCTGATATTTTTGGTAAAGAAAGTGTACAAGAACTGTTTTTGAGTATGCAAACATTTTATTTTTTCATTGTTGATAGAATTATAATTATACAATAAAGCTGTATGAAAGAAATAACGATTGGTTTAAAAGAAATGGTTATATTTAAAGTTTAAAGACAATTTTTGCTACAGATGCATGTCTATACCAAAATTTTTACACACGAAATTATTTTAAGTGCAAAAGCATAACATAAGCATTTTATTTGTTATAAATACAGCACATATTTTCTAAAATTATCATTTATTATGAATTTGCTCAGTTAAGATAAAAATCTGTATACAGATCTGTTTGTTATATTTGTATTCCATATAATTTTTTGCATTTGAAAGAAGATGAATATTTATTTGGCCATTAGAGAGAGAAAGGGTGATGAATCGAGTGCAGAAGGTGCAGGTAAAATGAATGAACCGCATGTTATGCTTTTGTATTTTATATATACGTAGCAAAGTCTTTATTATGCATCAGGGGCGTAATAGTAGGCACCCGACATCCTAATAATTATTTTTTATTTTCTATATAGTTTATGCTCTAACTAGTTAATAAGTATCACTATTTATTATTGGATTTGATATTTGAGATTATTATTTTTATTATTGTGTTTTTATTATTGTGTTTCATTCTGTTAGGAACGCAATTTCAATTAGATTTATTTATATTTTTTAGACTTGTGTCTACGTTACTAATAATATCTTTCCTTCTAAAATTATTTATAATAATCGAATTCGAGTCTTTTACGTGGTAAGAGCGATTGTTTTATCACTAACAAGTAACGATAATTTACAGATTTAACAATTAGTCATCCCAGATTATAAGATTTTCCAACGCATGCGCATCCCCACTAATTTTGTACGCATATATGCGTATAGTTGATTGCATGATTTGTTAAAATGATCTATTTAACTAACTTGTGCAAAGTAGAACAGTTTTTTTGGATTCTTGGAGAAAAATTTTGAATTTTTTTTTATAAAAATATGTTATTATATCAAATAATAATATAATATCTTGATATCAATAAACATTAAAAAAAGATTTTATTTCTTTAAATATTATTCCTTTCTATATTTCCTTAAATTATTTAAAATCTTTTTATATTATTATTA